GAAAATGACGGGAGATTGCAGACTACCGATCGCAGCACCACAAGCGGATTGACCCTGCTTGGGCTTCACATTTTATGCATTAGTGCTGTGATCATTCCTAGCACTTCACCGTTCTAGTACATGCTACCACCAAATTAATGAGGTGATCAGGAGAGCATTTAAACATAGTCGGCTTGATTGATTGATAAGATAGATATATACATAAATAGATAGATATATAGATGATAGATAGATAAAGTGCCTGCAGTATGCAAAAAAATGCTTCCTATTTAAAATTGCTCAAAGCTACGAGGCGCGCATGAAGCGTTTTCTTATGCCATCCCTCCGTGCTTAGCTTCCAGTGCTTTCGTCGGGATGAGAAAAAAAAATAATTCAATTGCAGCATGCGACAAATCTTTATAACTGTGCTCCTACTGGAGGCATTCTGGTCAATTTGCGAGGCAATTATCTCCTATAGTGAATCTATTCTATGTCTACTTGAAATAGTGTTGTAGGGCCCCTTTAGAGTGAATTTAGGCTTACGTTCATCATAAATTTTCCGTTTCCTGTCCTGGCTTTTGCAATCTTGATAGCACGTGTCACATCCCCAACAAGTGTTTTACAGTGAAAGCTGTTATGAGATCACAACTTGGGTCACGTGCAACCCCATAGTTGTCCGCCGCCGCCGGCGTGCATAGCCATTTCGCTCGAAATTAGAAAAAAACCTAAAACCGAAAATACAGAGGGGCTCAAACCCGGGTCCACTGCATGCCAGCACGGTATTCTACCGAGCCACACCAGTGCTTAGGACTTGGCAAACTTGCGCTAGGCAGACTTGATGTCAGGAAAGAAATTGCGTTAATATGAGTAATAAAGCGCTTTAGAAAAGCAAAAGAACAGCCAGCCATCACACAATGCGGATGGCGTAACAAGTTGGTTGTCCAATGCTTCAACTCACTACAAAATCTTGTTCTTGACCACTTATTAACTGTGCTGCATACCCACTTCAGGCATAATTCCTCACCATCGTCAGCCACTGCATGAACAATTGACACAAAATTCCTTCCAAGTGTTTAACGGATATTACACTTCTCATAAACATGATGACAGATAGCATAGCGAATGCCTGCCTACTACCCACAAATTATTATTATTAATGCCACAGTGGACACCCAGCAAGTGTGCTTGCAGCAGTTACCCGATGAGTGTTTAGAAAAGGCTCTGAAAGGCCACTCTTCTAGGTTTCGCTGCGACTTACGCTGACGCGTGTCATTTTTTTATACTGACATGGGTACTGACACAAACTTTCGTGGCCAAGATAGCTTGGGGGATCGATTCCCATGAACATGCCTATATCATCTGCAATATATCAACAGCAAATATAACTTGGAAGGTATTTTACAGCAATATTGAAGTTTGAATATTAATGGTATGGACACCTTCTAAAGGGACCCCTCCTGTACCCCTTCCTTCACGAAACCACACTGCTGTAAATAAAACAAGTTATGATCACATCATAGCTACCATTATTTTTTTGCCGTGTTTCTTCCAGCCGTCTATGCCTCTCGGCGGCTATTTGCGTGTGCGTGGCCACGGCGCACGCATTGAAAGTTTTTGTGTTTGGCGATACTGCCACCCAGTTTTCTGTTCGATAGGAATTCTTAATGCAGATTGTGCTCACTGCGTCACAGTTCTGGGTACTGACGTGGTCTAGAGCTGCGCATGCAAGGTGGCGATAGTTGCCCCCTGCAGCTTGTTTTTTGAGCTCTTTCAGACCGAAACTAGTTGATAAGGAGGGGGCCTGTAATTAAAGATCTGTTGCATGCTGCAGCAAAAAATGTGCCGTGTTATGACTAACAGGGCCCCAGGAACACACTGCAGCAAAAATAAACACGCAAGGCCAAAGTTTTTGTGCCAGAACCAATTTACAAAAAGAACAAACAAATAAAATGCTTAAAAAATCTTGCTATCCCTTACATTTCAAGTTCCAGATGGTCCGCACTGGCATTCTCTTTTTTACCCTCAATTTTTGTACGGTGCGAAAAAGCTGCTAAAAAAAAAAAACAAGATTGCTATGTTCAAACCCACTATTGAACCCTTTCTGGTATAGTCTTCGGAAAAGCTGTGGTGCTTAAACACGCTTGATTGAGGAGAGCTGCTCTTCCTATGTTTGTCTAAAATTGCCCAGCATAAATGTGCTCTAAAATTTAAACAACAATGCAGTATCTTTGGCCAGGACTTTTATACTACTCTAAGGATGTCCTTCCCGTGATCTCAGCACTTGGTATCGGGTCAAACTTAAGTTGCAAATAAAAGCAACACCTTCCCTTGTCTATTTTGCATTCTGAGTCATTGGAAAATAGAAAAGTAATTCAAAAACCACTGTGAAATGCATCCATTGCACATAGACGATTTGGTGAATGAGGCTTCTTGTAAAAAAAAGTGCCCTGGTAAGAAAAGGCTGCATATGGGACTCTACCTGACCCCATGAAATACTTTTCATGCTGTGACACCGACATTAAAAATCCTGCTGAGCTTGTGAAAATTCGCCGCTTTTATGGGGCATTTTTTGCTGCTTTTGATTGCCATTGGCACAAACGAAAAAGAAGGGATGAGGCAGGCAGTCATACAGGTTCCGTAAAAGGCAATTTTTTGGCAAGAACATTTTGCATCTATGCAAATGATTATTGTTCAGGATAGAACAAGCTTGTCAAATTGTGCTATAAGAACATGTCCTCTCACCCCCTGAAAATGTTTGCTACCTTGCATGCACTAGATGCGCACATAGAACACTGTTTCTTCAAGCTGCTAGCACAGCCCATTCAATTGTACACTAGGTGCCTCAATGAAAAATAATATAGAGAAGTAAAATAGAATTATTTGTTAAACTAAAAACTAACATATTTGATTTGGCATTTTCATTAGGCAGCGTCTTGCACCACAAAATTATAGGATCCGTAAACGGTGAAGAATGCACAACAGCTCTGACCCAAGGTGAAAAACCCCAGCTGCCTGGACCCTGAGATAGGCTTCCATATCCGCCCGCAAAGAAAATAAAAATCAAGGTGGGTCACATTGTTATTTGGCATGGTCATGAGCCTCTTCATGAATGTTTAGTCTGTACCCAGTGACCCAAAAAAATGTCTGCAAAGATAAGATAGGGGAACATGCGGCTGTACGTGAGGAAAACCAATATCAGACCAGGTGATAAGAACTGCAATGTTAGTGTATTGACGTACGAGTGGTGTTACCCTACACCTCACATTTAATAAAAGCTCAAACCAAAATTCCAATCGTGCTTGCATATTCTACCTTTTATCAGACGGTAGCTGTGGACTTCCCGTTCCCTTCTCTGAAGACTGCGACATGCGTGAAGAGGTAGCCACTTCTGACATATGTAATCCTAGCCGACAACTGCTGTTACAGCAAGAGATTGCAGTGACCTAAAATTTTTGCATGCGATGGTCACTACTAAGGTCAGTGTAAATGTACCAGGTGAAAGTTGGAGGGTTACCAGTAAAATGCTGGGCATTGTATGCACCTATAGTGTAAGAGATGATAATGAGACATCTAGTGCAGAACTTTGAAACAATTTTGATCACGTGAAGTTTGCTAGCAAGCATCTTCAACTACGTGGGTTTTCTTGTATTTCACCCTGATCAAAGTACGACCACTGTGGCTTAAAAAAGTTCGCACCATCATGCTCAGAAACCCTCGCATTAACTGCCGATGCGGAATCAGGCACTTCAAGCAAGCCCAAGGGCAAAAAGCTAACGCAGTAAATTACCTACTTCATAAAATATACAAAATGTAACGGCGATCCCTTCACTACCACACCTAGCTATTAGACATGTACCATCATCAGCAAATGAGGCAAACGTCAAAGCATTGATAAGCAGTGATTATACTAAATCAACAGCTGTGTGCAAGTAACGTGGTTAAGCACAGATTTCAATGACCGAATTCAGCGAAATAAAAAAGCTACTTTCACTCGGAACAAAGCGAAACACCTTTTCGTTGCCTCTGAAATTTTTATTGAGCGCGGCGTGAGCTCGGGGCGTGTAGGACGAAGCATACGTGCCAACGACATCCCGCGTGGCAATTTTTTTTTATGCGTTCCTTCAAGTAGCTTTGTAGAGAAATTTCATTCTCCGTTGCCGGTCGTAAACTTAAGCACTTTTTGCCAACGAGCATGAGCAGCGATGAAAGAGAAAAAAAGAAAAGGCTATATAGAGCACGCTGTATAACGGAAACAACAGTAATGAACGTCATGGAGGGTGGAGTGAGCGAGAAAGAGGGATCAACGTGACACTGCCGGAAAGTTTCACCCGTTTCTACATCGGGGGTAACCCCGAAGACTGGTCTGCCGGCACAGGAAAAAAAAAAAAAAAGAAATATAGACCACGCCGCATTCATTATTAAAGAGCGCTAAAGGATGCCTCAGCAGCCATCACATTCCCTTAACAACGTAGCGTCACTGTTTACAACGAGCGGCATGAATTGCACGCGAGGACGCAAGACCTCCGCTACGAACACGAACGCCGGATTTGTGAGAAGCCGGCGAAAGGTTAACACGGGACCGTTCCCGACTATCAGGGACGCGCAGAGGCTGCGCGGACAAACTGAAGCCAGTCGCGAAACTCGCGTTCAGTGTCCAGCACGCGACGTTTACTAAACAAAACAGAAAGAAAAAAGACACGTCGCTTTGAAGAGAAATCAGCGAAGCACGAATACGAACACACGCGCGGCGTCGACCTGGTTGACCTCAAAACGAGGAAAAACTCCGAGTCTCAATTTAATTTGCCTGCAGCTGTCATCGATGAATGAAATCTTTGGTTAGTTCTTAGCGCAACCGGTGATGCCGCTCGATGCAAATTACTTTCAGCGGCGTCAGAGACGGTCATTCATTCCTGATGGGCATCTCTCATGCTGCTCCACGAAGGTCGGGCCTGTTGAGGAGCAGCGACGAGCTGGGTCGCACACCGCCGAACACGGGAGGACGGCGTTTCTTCTAGACTCACCTGAGTTTGAATGACGGTGCGGCTGGGGAGTAACCGAAAGAGGGCCATGTCGACGAAAGTTCCAACACGATGCAAGCCCGGGGTGCACGAGTTTTAAAGCTGGCAGGCACCGTCCAAACTCGCCGGCTGCAACCCTCGGAAGCCCACGACGGGAAAAGGAATTGGCTACGTCGAAAATGCGAGGCGCGACGTACGCGAAAGCTTTGACTTCAGCCAACGTTACTGGATGAGGACAGTTGGAAAACTCGCGCGAGGAGGCGGCCGCAAATCGTCGCCCATTCCAGGTGTCGCTGGCATCGCTTTGCGACCACGTCACGTGACCTCTCCGCCGCGCAGCCGGCATCGCGCGGAGCAGACGGAGCAGCGACGCGGCTAGCAGGGCCTGCGCTTGCAGACGATTTTTTCCCTGCTGGTAATAATGGTTAAGTAACCTAAATTAAGTAACGTTAAGTAACCTAAATATAAAAAAAAGGCTGGCTCGTTGTTTCGTAACAGACCTTATGCATTAAATTTCAACCATGACAGAGCAGACGATAATGTTTACGCTGTTCTGCTTTCTGGAGAGAAAGCGGACGGTGACTCTGAGCAAGCAATTGTTCGCGGTTGAATTTTGCTCCCTTCGGGAGAACGGTCGGCATGCCGAGGTGTGCTGTGCCAGGCTGTCGAAGTGGATATTCATCGGCAACGTCAAATGAAGTGCCCTTCGTGCAGCGACACTTTTTCAAGCCACCGAAAGACCCCAATGTGCTGAGGGAGTGGAACAATGCGGCAGGCCGTGCAAACTTCGAAGTTACTCAAAGATCATACATATGTGATCGTCACTTTGATGAAGCGGACATTTGCACCTCCTTCCAGCATGTTGTGAATGGCGAAACAGTCTCGATTCCGCGAGGACGCTGGGAACTGAAGAAAGGTGCGGTACCGCGGCATTTTGCTAATTGCGCTGAGCTTGATTTGAAGCTTTGTGTAGAAAATGTTGGCACAAATGCAGCAAGCGTGCTAGTGGCCGAAGATGACATTACCCCAGTTCTTCAGAGTGAAAGTGAGACGTGCACTGAAATGCTTGAACACGAAAACAGGGCTGCCTCAAATGCTGAAAGCATGGAAGTCATCATGAAAGAAAGCTCCACAGGTGAACATTGGTTTGGTGGCATAGAAGACTTGCCCGTGTATGGAGCATGGTGTGTGCAACACACGGATGAGCGTGTTGTTTTTTACAAACTTCAAGAAATTGGTGGCGTAGTTTTTATTGAAAGAGCTGTCGTTATAAACAAAAACTCGACCGTTGTTGTCAGCGCTAAAGGGAAACTTGTGCCGGAATCGTCTTACACCTTTATTAACAGTGACAAGCTCAATTTTACCACCTTGAAAGACGCAGCGCCCTTTCTTCATCTCATTGAGAGCCTGGGTATCTGCAATGGTTTTGATTCTCGTTTATGTCCTTTAATATCAACTTCTAAGACGGCTGAAAGGTCTGGGAGAACATGGAGAAGCAAGCGATGTGCAGTGCTGTCGGCGAAAGCCTTATGCGTTCAGTGCAGGAAAGCAAAAAAGAACTTGCAGTGCAGGCAGAAACGACGTTCAAGAAAGAGCAAGTACGTGCCTTTGCCATCTGCGCTGTTGAGAAATTTAAGAAAGAAGACTATAAGAGCAACAGTGCTGCGGGAGAAATACAAGAGGGACCTGCTAAGCTTGAAAAAAAAGTTGTCATCAGATCCAAGCAATGCACTGTTGAGCGAGGTTTTAGCTGAACTTCCACCACTGCAGCAACTTGCATTTCGGACAGCACTGCAGTCGATGAAAGCGAAATCTTCAAGAGGTGTGCGGTATGACTGTGGGTGGCTGCTGAGTTGCCTTCTCTTGAAGATTTCAAGCCCACGTGTGTACCGCTTGATGTCAAGAATGAAAATCCTCCCTCTTCCAACTTCGACTAGGCTCCGACAAATAATAAGAGGAATGCCTTGTGAGTTTGGCTTTAATAAGCTCTCCCTTTCCAGCATAGGGGCTTTCATGAAGACTATGAAAGGAGTCCAGTGTTACGGCACACTAGTAATAGATGAAATGAAGGTACGCCAAGCCGTAGCTTTCAACCGTCAAACATACAAGATTGATGGGTTCGTAAATTACGGAGACGGTGAAGTTTCAGCAGCTACTGCTGATCATGCATTGGTTGCAATGTTTGTGCCTCTATTCCACTCATGGGTTCAACCGATTGCAAGTTTTGCAACAAAAAACGCAGCCCCCGGACACGTGCTCGCCAAAATAGTTCTTGATGCAATCGTGCAGCTACGCAAACACAACGCCATAGTCGTCGCAGTAATCAGTGATGGCGCCAGCACGAACAAAGCAATGTGGTCCAACTTTGGCATATCAGGAAAGCTTCACACAGCAAACCACAAAGTTCAGCACCCATGCGAGCCAAATCAAAGCCTCTACTTCCTTTGCGATGTACCCCACATTGTCAAATGCATTAGAAACCATCTTCTTCGACACAAATATGGCATGGTAAGTACCACGTACAGTACAATATCGCAATAAATAGTGTCGCGGTGCCAATCAAAATACATTTTCTTCGCAGCACTACATACGACTGACGGACTTTTTTTTTCCCTCTCTTCTTCTTGCTCATAGATTGGTGAACATCGCATAAACTATGACCACTACCGAGTTTTGCAAGAAGTAGACGGCAAAGAGCAACTCCGCATTGTTCCGAAGCTTACCGCTGAACACGTCTGCCCTGACAACATGAGAAAAATGAGTGTGAAGCTCGCAGTACAGGTAAGATTACGAAAAGCTGCTTTTGAAAGAACTTATAGCTTACCTGATTATTTAGGCAAATTCTTCACATGTGAAACACAAACTTAACTGGTACTGTGAAGTGTTCTCCTTAAGTCTTTTTGCGATTAATAAAATGCCCCTATACGTTTTCTGTCCCCTAGCTGCTCAGCCGAAGTACGGCTATCGGCCTTGATGTGTACCGGAGACTCAAGCAAGATGGCCTGGAAGACTGCGAGGGGACAGCCGCGTTTACCCGCATCATAAATGACCTTTTTGATGCCCTGAACATCAAGCTTCCTCGTTTTGGGATAAGGAGCACATCCAAGGAAATTAAGGCAAGGGCGATAAAATGTGCTACTTTTGAAGAACATTCGCAATAGGTAATGTTAATCAAGAACTGAGGCACTGGGCATATAAATAAAATACAAAACGCCGACAAACATTTACACCAACAAAAGCCTAGTTTAAGTAGACATTTATTTTGTAATTGAAGGAAGGTATTATTGAAAGAAAGACGACGAATAAATGTCTTGGAACTTAGAACTTCTCCTTCCAGATAACTGAAATAAACGTCGATGAGAAGGCGACACGCCGCAAGCGTGATTTCAAGTATTACCAGCTTCCATTTTCATTCAGTGGCACACATGTTTCATTAAAAAATCAGGTTAAAAATAACTTTATGCCTTTCTTCAAAGGTCCCTTTTTTTATAGGCGTCGACGTTTGCATGTAAGAGCTAGCTTGCACAAAAAAGTAATGTCTAACATAAACTTTTCCCTTTTCTAGATCATCCAAGATTTCATGATTATCTTGGACTTGACAGAGAGAAACCACGTTGAGAAAGGAACAGCCATGTTCGCATCTCAAGTAACAATGGAGTCTCTAAGGGTGACTTTGTCATCTATCTTGGAACTAACAAATGACCTCCTTGCTAAAGGTGCACGCTACGTGCTCACAGGCAAGCTTAATCAAGACCCCTTGGAGGTGAGATTAGCATAATTCCATAAAACTGCGCACTTACTTCATTGCATGGAAAATAAACAAAACGGTTATGAGGAAGCATAGCGTGGTTTTAAACAGTCGTCATATCTCTATGTGAGATGTGCAATTCCCGCCTGAGACTTGCACTCTATAAATCCTCTTTATGCATTCCATACGCCATGCGTACTTTGACTTCTGAAAGAGATACATACGGTGAACTGACGTACGGCTTTATTACTACCATTACAGAGGTTCTTCGGAATCACCAGGAGCTTTGGAGGTGACGAAGACCATCCGACGATCCTGAGCTTTTCCCATATCTACAGGTTGCTGAGCCTGTACACACCTGTCAAGGCTTCGATTGCAGGCAATGTCCAAGAGGAGCCAACCTTAATACTAGCCACAGTGCAAGAGACGATGAAGCAAGGGAAGAAGCAGCAGCTGGCAACGTATGAAAAGTTGCGTGAGACAATCAGCGCAAAGATTTCCGAGGTTTGCTTGCCTGGAATAAGTTCAGCATCCCACTCGGGACCGACACCGCTTCCGGACCACGGATATGCTTTGCCAGCAGTACAGGAGTGCGTCGTATATTACCTCTGCGGCTACATTGTACATTCTTTTCTGAAGCACGTCAACTGCGCTGCTTGCATAAGCAGCATCCAGTCAACAAACACTAAATTCCCCGCTTCACTACTGACATTGGCAAGAGAATTCAGGAACGGAAGCCTCAAGCATCCCTCTACAGAACTTTACACAATGTTGAAACGCGTCGAAGAAAAACTGTCTCTCGTGCTAGGAGAAAACCATCTGTGCGCCGACATGTTTTGGGATGCGCTGGATGTCATCAAAGACTGCGATGTTCCAAGCGTTGGTTGTTCAGTTCATAAGGACATCCTGACATCGGAGATTGTACACTCATACGTTGTTTTGAGAATGCACTTTTTTACGAGAGATGTTTGTAAGAAGCTGAGTGCTTCTGGCAGGGTGTCTTCTACAAAAAAGAAAGCCAAACTTCTCTAGACTACGCACCAATAAACTACGCAGTGATTTAACATAGAAATGTTGCCAAGTAAAAAAAAAAAACAGGAACTTGAACAAATGTGTTTGGTGGCTTTTCTTACAGTTATTGCACAGCAACATGCACAGATCTCAGTGAATTAAGGGCTGTAATGAGGACACGGGAACATCGGAACAGCATTAAATAACCTAGCAGGAGTCCCACGTAGAACACAGCCAGCTTACCGGCGACGCATGTCATTGGTTCGAAATTTGGGTATTCGAGTGTCAAACTAAAATGACGCTGTTCTTTTTAATTCGATTGCATTCCTCCCTTCATGAAGAGGTGACGAAGAGATGAAGGAGCTTCTCCAAGCTCCTTAATTCATATCCACTCGATTGGCATTCCGTGTTCCTAGTCATGCACATTCGATACATTTAATTGTCAATCGGAAAAACAATCTTTACACTTAATAAAACTTCTAGGCGCGTAAAACTTTTTTTTCGCCTTTTGATTTTTTTTTTTTTTTTTTTTTTTTTTTTTTTTTAAGCAAGTGATCTTATCTTCTTTCTAACATATATATGTGTGTCGTAGTAGTAATAAATCAGTTGAAAGTCTGCGCTCGTCCTCGTCTCTTGTGTTAGTTGTCTGAAGTTTTACGCGCCTAGAAGTTTTATATGGATTACCAACTAGCCCAATCCCACACTTTACTTAAGTACACTTAATAAAATAGTTGAATTTGCACAATTTAAAAACTGTATCTACTTACAAACGGTATGCATTTAAAAAATACAAGCCGACTGTTACGAACCATTCTGTTAAAATTTGTTTGTAACTACGTGTTTCTTCTGCAAAAGATTGCTGTGCTGGGAACCAAAAAAAAAAAAGTGAGTTGTCTCGTAAGATATACATCATCGTATTATTCTCCCTGACAAGCCACACAGATAACGCACCGCAGCGTAAATGCAGCGGCATTGTATACAATAAAAACATGCGCAAGTTTTCAGAACTCGCGACTGTTTCATTTAGAACGCTTACTGTCGCTTTCAAATAAGAGCATGCTTTTATAGAAAACGCTCAATGTAAGGACTGCACGAGCAATGCGATCTCAAAAAAATTTTCAGGAAATTTCAGTTTATGCTCTCGGAGGCACCTATTCATTAGGCAAGCACAAGCTCATCACATCGAAACACCTGCGGAATGCAGTCAGCACCATCAGCACGTGGCAAAAAGAACCACTCAGACTTCGTTCAGAGCTCCAAGCTGTGTCCACCTTCATCTATGCAGTGGTTGTAGCAGGAAGCTCTCAATATGCATCCGCTAACAAGATTCCTTGAGATATGAAGTGCTCCAAAAACGCTGCGCCGTCCTTCGGAGACGGGGCGCGGAACAGACGACGAGCAGACGACGCACGAAGCTCGTCACATGACCAGGTCGCAAAGCGATCGCAGCGCCCCCGCGTTTTGGGAGACTGTGAGCGGCCACGCCGCTTCCGTGGCGAGCCCATGCAGTTTCCCAACTGGCTCCATCCAGTAACGTTGACTTCAGCGCACAACTTTCCGAATACCAACCACTTGGTCATAAAGTTGCGTCAATTGTTCTTGTTCGCTTTGCAGCATTGGTCAATTTAATTCGTGTGGTGCAACATAAGCAATGTTTTTTAAATTGCTCATTGCAAAACTAGTACGCGTTTACTCACATATTTTTTAGGCAATGGCTGCTGCGCCGCGCGGCGCTCCAGCCATCCCCACACAGAACTGGCTGCTGCGCCGCACGGAAGTGACGTCACGAAAATTGTCATGACATACGTCGTTTCCGATTTAGCGCGTTGTTCGAATTTACCGAATCGGAACGTGGCTCAGCTGGCCAGCAGACGCTCACTTGCTGCTGCTGCTGCTGGAGTACGGCTGGTTGCTGCTTCTGCGAGCTGTCTACAGGCCTTGTTCTGCTACATATTCGCAAGCCTCGAACATCATCTTCATCTAAGCTCAACCGCTTATTTTCACTGCTATTTTATATTTACTAACGTTGTTTATATCCATCCCAATACGTATTTTTGTGATTTTTCGCGTATAGGCTGATTTAGCAGTATCTGTGCGTGGCCCTTTCTTTGGTCATCCGTGTTAACGTGCTTCGTATCTGTGTCGTAGTGCATTTGCGTAGTTGACAGCCGTGTTTTAGACTAAATATTCACTTTCTTGTTTCTTTTTTTTTTTCATGGTGTAATTCTGAATTGAAAGTGTGCGCAACATGACGCGTGTGTTAGTAGCGGGCGATTCAATGGTGAAATACGTCGACCAGTATTTCCCATCGCGCCGTGGCTTGTCTGTTAGCGTTGCCGCACACAGAGGAATAAGGATTGAGCACTTGCTCTCAATGATTGCTGACAAGCTGGCCAGTTTTGATGTTGTCATTGTACATGTTGGCACGAACAACACTGTTGACAGTGTCAACATGTGCATGGACAAATATCGCCAGCTCGCTCAGGGAATCATCGAAAGCAATCCCACGTTGCATGTAGCTTTTTCTGCCATTCTTCCTCGGGGGCAGAATCGGTACCGCCAAGGGGAAGAACAGTTGTGTGATGTTTGTCATTTGAATGACCACTAGAGGAATGTGAATGCCGCACTCGCACAGCTTTGCCTGGAGAGGGGCTTCACTATCCTGGATAGTCTTGTGGACAGCTGGCCTGGATTCCTGAGCAGGGATGGTGTCCACCCCAGCCAGCTTGGCAACAAGGTGCTGGCAGACTTCCTGTACCGTGAGGCCTGTGCCTTGTCCACCCAACTAGAGAGGAGACACATCCAACAGTCCTACAAGGAGTCCAAGGCATCTGCATGGAGTGGGTGGGCTCGGCAGGAGCACTTTTCCATCAACTTGGAAGTCGATTTTCCAGCACTTGGTATGCATGCAGTTCAATATTCTCCAGCAGTAGGTGGACCTTCAATATTCTCCAGCAGTAGGGAGCTGCACCAGCTCCTGTCTGGAAAACCAGCAGTGCTCTCATGCAGAGACACGACACTGACCAACTGGCCAGTACCATTCATGGTATTGGCTTTACGCTCGTTGGCGGTGTCCGCGTTCGCTGCAAGGGAAGCAAGGCTTGGTGGACCTGGGACAGCCTGCCTTCCCCCAACAGCCTGCCTTCCCCCATTTTCCATGGCACAAGTGTACCATGCAAGGGAAACACTGGGGAGAGGCCTATTCAGCCAATGATCCCTAGTCGAGGTGCAAGCACCACTTGTGACAGGAAAATAAGGAGAGCCTCACAGGAGCATGAGAGTGCTCTTGTGCGCTCTTCTGTGGGGGAAGAGGAGGCCAGTGCTGGAAAAGCAGCTGTGCCACAGGCTGTCGGCCAGTGTGGCGACAGTGAGTGGAAACTGGTGCAGTCAAAGAAGAGCCGGCGGAAGGCTGCGGCACTGCACAAGCAAGAACAGAGCTCTAAACTGTGTGCAGACAGTGAAGGCAAAGTTCTTGCTGTGACAGCTGCCAAGTCCATCAGGTCCACTTCACCTATGACAGCAGTTGTGAGCCAGAAACAGATTCAGTCTGCTTCTTCCGCTGTCTGTGGTAGAAAGCCTGAAGGACGAGCCAGTGTCTCGCACAACGTCATTCGTGATAGTTTTAAAAAGGTGCAGCGTGTTCCTAGCAAGCAGTTGAAAGACTGCTCAGTTAGTTCCGCGACTCACTGTGAATCTGTCACGAATGACGCTGTGAACGAGGTTTCTGTCTGCAAAAGCCATCTACCAGCACTGACTCGGGATTGCATGCGAATTGAGCGCGATCCTGGCACAGAGGCTGGTGACCCTATGGAAGCTGGGTGCACTGCAGCTGTGCAGTACAAGTATTGTGAGGCTGCTTTGACATCCAGAAGCAGGCCTGTCAGCCTTGGTGCCCAGGCTATTTGTGTAAACACTGGTGCCAACCCAACCGTCCTCAATAACCCAGTAAATACACTATATGGTGGGGGTAGCAAAGTTTATTTAAATGCAACATTTGATAACTTTCCTTCTTTTAAGAAAAGCTTTGATGAGTGGTGCAGGGAGGGCAGGCATGTAGTCATGATAAATAAGAGTAATAAAAGTCCATTCACATCAGAAGATAAGGACTTCGAGTATATTAGGATTAAATATAGCTGCATTCACGGTCGCACAATAAAGCCCAGGGGGACAGGAAAGCGACCAAAGCAAGCTTACAGTGGTACTGGCTGTGAAATGACAGTATCGGTAAGCCTATGTAAATTGCCTACTCTGCACTACAAGATAACTAAACTACAAGCTAAGCATAACCATCCCACAGAATATTATGATTTGTATCCTCAGAAGAGGCTCCTGAATCATGGAGAAAAAGAAGAATTCTTTGACTTAGCTAAATGTAATATTGGCGCAAAGGATTTTAAAAACTTGGTCGAGCAAAAAACTGGTAAGAAGTTAACTACAAAGGACATTAATAATTACAAGCAACGATTTTCTATTCCTATCCGCAATGAGCAGGCTCATGGTGAAATGGTTTTAGAGAAGGTAGAGACCTTGCTAAAAAATAATCCAAACTGGGTTATTCACTATGAAATGAATCAAAATAATAACCTGCAATTCATACTTCTTCAAACAACGCACATGCGTGAGATTTTGAAAAAGTATCCAGAGATTCTATTTATTGATGGAACGTATAAAGTGAATATTGAGGGTTATATTCTTTACTCTATATTAGTTCAAGATGGTCGTGGTCGTGGGAGACCTGTGTGTTATGCCTTCTTACGAAATGAGACGACAAATTGTTGAGCCCATGTTCACAAAGTTTGTAGATTTCAACCCATTTGTTGTGTCTGCTTGCAAAGTAGTGATGATTGATAAAGATCTCAATGAACTGCGCATTTTAACCAATATTCTTCCTAATTCTAACATACTTTTGTGTACGTGGCATGTGTTGCATTGTTTCCAGCAAAAGGTTAATGAAAAAGCTAGACAGCAACGTGATCAGTTGGTTCCTCTCTTAAAAAGCTTAGTTTATTCCCCCACTGAGCAAGACTACTTCGATAAGCTTGCTAACCTCCAAGCTATGACTTGCACAGATTTCATTTCTTACTATATGCATAACTGGAACTTGTGTAAGGAAATGTGGGTACATGCATATCGGCAAGCCCTTCCTACATTTGGTAATAATACTAATAATCGCATTGAGTGCCACAATCAAAAGATTAAAAATTATCTCTCTTCAAGCATGCATTTGGTTCAAGCAATAGAAGCATTGGTAGGTTACATTGATAATGATTCTTTATCTCTACAGTTCTCTAAGCTTAAAGAAATGAAGCTGAACCTAAACATAAATGATTTCAATGACCCATTTCAGCTAGAATTGTCCCGTAATTGCACTTCTGAGGCTACAAGTAAAGTACTAGAGCAGTATGAGAAGTTTAAAAATGTAAGTTATCAAGTCACTTCCACTCCTAATTCTTATGTTGTAGTTTCACCAAGATCACAGTACAGTGTTTCATTGTGCTTGGCTTCTTGCACATGTGCTTTTTATAACCAGTACACTCTGCCTTGTGCACATATTTTAGCAGTGCGTGACTTTACTAAGCAAGATCTTTTCGACAAGGCTTGCACACCAGACAGGTGGTGCAAGGATCATTTCCTGAGTGACAGCTGCACAACCACTAGTGCCACACCAGTGGTAACAAGCAGCATTCAGTCACCACCCTGTGTGAAGCTTGACACTGCACAAGAGAAGTATACTTATGCTTATAAGAGTCTTTGCGAAATGTCAAAAACCGTGGCTAACGTATTATCTAATTGTGGTGAGAAGGAGTTAATGGAAAAACTTTCGTCCTGCGAGGCTTTCTTCAGAAATTTAACCACATTTCCTCGTAACCAAACTTCAGCAGCCATAAAGGCTGCACCAGCTCAGTTAGCACAAACTACTGCCACAAGTTATCTTGGGCATTCTAACAGTACAAAACTTGTGGTACCTTTGGTTAAAGCAAGAAGGGGGCGGCCAAAAAAAGTGAGAGCTGTCAAGCGTAAATTTTTCCCAAATCAAGTAAAAAAGGTAGGCCTTGCAACTGTTAAAGTAGACATGCTAAATGTCTACAAACGGTATTCTCTTTCAGATGCAGATTTAAATGTTCTGGTACAGGGCACCTCCATATCAGATAGCGTAATCAATGTCGCACAGTATTTAATTCAGAAAAAGTATCCTACTTGTGTCGGCTTTCAAGATGTCTTACTGGGCCGATGTTTACAATTCACTCAAATCAAAGGCCCTTTCGTTCAAATCTTGCATGTTCAGAACCCCAATTATTGGCTTACAGTAACAAATGTTGGTGCGGACAAAAACACAGTCTTCATATATGATTCAATTGATCAAGATACCCCTCCTGACGCTGTTAGGCAAATCTGTCATATTCTAAAATTACAATCGCCAACATTAACCATTCAAACAATGAAGGCACAAAACCAGTGCAACACACTTGACTGTGGCTTGTTTGCAATTGCCAACATGTATTATATAGCGTCAGGCAGAAAACCAGAAACTTTGAACCTTAACCAAGTTATGCTACGCAAACATTTGCTGCAATGCATACAGAATGGTATGATCGAAGACTTTCCCCTCATAAACTCCATG